GTCTAAAACTTCACAATGTGATTCTTTGTCCACAGCAGTATCTACATAGCCAAGGTCAGGAGCTATTTTTCTCCATCAACAAGTAGGCAACAATACAAGTGTAGAGGCCCAATGGTCAGTTGTTGCACGGCTGCTTAAAGTCTCTCCTATTGCTACCCAGTTTGCCCAAAACTGCCACCATTATATTTTGTGTTGGGGAACTGTACATTTGTACATGTAATGCACGCACCCATGTTTAAACAAGGTGTAATATAAAAATACCAACAGATCCACGAAGTCATTCTCAAGATCTTCTGGTTTGCATTCTCACATTCTCAAGGCTGGTTGCATTCTCACACTAGCCAAAACAGACTTTGTTTTTGGTTGAGCATGTCCTGTAAATGCAGTCGTCATGGTTTATTTTTAGGTAAAAACATAAAATGATTCTCTTCAAGTAGAAAAACTGGTCCCGAGTTTTCAACATCCCTTTCAACCTTTTGTCTTCCCTCTGGATTGTGCCGATTAAGCACTTATCAACCATTTTTACCCCAAGTACAAACAGACATGGATACCTCTGAGTGGAAAGCATAGAGAGGTGGGAGGGCTTTAGCCATTTGGATGCCTATGTCCCAACAAGGAAAGGAAGCTTTCACACATGCCTTATAAAGCTGGCCTGAAGCTTATGGGAAAGGCCCCATTCCAGCTTGGCAAAAGCATTCTCTCCATGGCTGAAGCTCGGGCAAGGCACTCTCAAGCCTTACATCTGAAGCCTTACATCTGAGTTTCTACGGGCATCTTGATCCTACCCCCTTTCTGAGAAACTACCCCATTCCTTTCTTCTTAAAAGTACAGATATCACCTGAAGACTTAAGCCATACAGTAGAACTATGGAAGGGGACATCAAGGAACACCTGGTGATTTGTATGCAATGGCGTCTGTATACGTATACCTAATAATTCTGCAATATTGAATGGTGTCTGTGTTTTTCTGTGTGTGTGTGTGTGTGAGAGGGAGAGAGAGGAAGGGAGGGAGGGAGAACTCATGCACAGCAGCCTAGTAATTCTGCAATGTTGAATGGGGTGTGTGTGTGTGTCTGTGTGTGTGTGTGTGTGTGAGAGAGAGAGAACCCCTCAGGAAGATCTATTGTTTAATTAGCCAAGTCTTCCTGCTGTTGACTTCACAGCAAGACCTTTTGTTTGGGATAATCCCCGACAAATGTTTGCTTATCACCAATCATTAGGCTAAATCACTCATTTCCTCCTTTTCCCCCCATCCCAGCATAGGAAGATTTTTTTTTTGTCTTTTTATTCTGATGTTTTTCAGAATAAACCAGAATCAGAAGTAATAATAATAATATCCAAATTATGAAATTAGAATTTGGTTTCTCCAGATTTGCTAAGTTCTTCAAGAATCCAAAAGTAGCCCTCAGTCCAGTGGTGGGATTCAAATATGTGAACAACCGGTTCCCTGTGTGGATGCCGCTTCTGGAAGTCCATTCTGGGCCTGGGCAACAAAAAATTAGCTACCGGTTCTGCCAAAGTGGTGCGAACTGGCTGAATCCCACCACTACCTCAGTCATAAAGCGAATCAGAAGGAGGTTCTTAGTGAATTGTACTGTACAGCTGCTCGCTCTGCAACTTTTCACTCCTTCTCCTTGCATTTATCCATGTTTCTCATCTTTGGCCACTTTAAGATGTGTGGATTCAACTCCCAGAATTCCCTAGCCAGCCATGCTGGGGAATTCTGGGAGTTGAAGTCCACATATCTTAAAACTGCCAAGATTGAGACATACAGATATTAAAAGGAAGTGAAATCAACCATAGCAACTCAACAAATGAGCTCAGGGTTGCCTGGGGATATGTAATTTAATCATTTTGGCTGTAGAATGCTACCATTTTTAGGATTAAGGAGGAACGTAAGATTGTAAGGCCTGTTTTAGTCTCCCAGCAGGTGGCCTTTAGAGGCAGCCACACTGCCATCAAGGTTAACAGCTAACAATGAGCTGTATCAACATTAAAATAAATATCCATGGAAGAAAACTACAGGGATTTATTGAAGTAGTTGCCGGGAGTCAAGACCAACTCCAAGAGACCAAGAAAAAAAAGATAAAAAAGGAAATAATCAAAATAAATCCACACTAACACCTTCCCCAAACCTAAAACCCTGTACTATATACAAATGCTCCACCTTCAACATTTTCTGAGTTTTATTGAAGAGAGGGAATTGGTCTTTCTTTTCAAAGAAAGTCTTCTCTGTAGATCAGAGGTGTCAAACTGCTGGCCTCGGGCCAGATGCATCATAGCAAAACCGTGCCCATCCATTGCCGGCAATGGCAAAAAAGTTGTGATTACGTCGCGACACATCACGTGACGTTGCGAATTTGACACCCCTGCTGTAGATTGTTGATTGCTTAAGAATTCTAGATAATTGCTAATTATTGAAAGCTGATTAAGTTAGATTTTCAAATAACTCGTGGGTGTCAAACTTGCCACGTCACGTGACGCAACGTATCTTGACTTTCTTTGCATTGCCGGAGCTGGGGTGGGTGTGGCCTCTGCATGATGCAACTGGCCCACGGGCCAGGTATGACACCCTGAAATAACCTATTCAAACAGAATTTGCTTTTATAGGAATTTCCATGGAGCCAGCCACGAGTTCCCTTATTTATCAGGTTTCTTAGAGGTGAAGTGTCTCTGTGTTTGGGTGTATCTGTGTGAATGTAAAGTTAAAACTACAATTGGAATTCCCTTATGGGGGGGGCAGCAGAGAAAAAAATTACACGCAAAACCCACCCAAGTTGCAGCCAAAGTTTTGCACACAGACGTAAGCTGGAAAGGGTTATAGGCAGCCTACAGGTTGCCCATTTCTAAAATAAATTATTATGTGTTTTACTGTCATTCCCGGTTTCTTTTAGTTGCAGGGCAGCTCAAACTCTTTCCTTTCCCAACAGAAAACTTGATTGATAGATCAGCTGCACTGAGCAGTACTTTTTACAATGAAAATGATAAAAGAGTTGTTTTTTTTCTAATCTTCTATTTCAGCCTTACACGAACCAGTCTCTTTTAGGACGTGGAAGTCTTGCCAATCCTGTAAGAAAAATCACAGACACAAACTCATCCAAACTTTACCAAATCACCTGGACTAGCAAAGCTGTTCAATAACTTTACAGAGGAAAGAGGAAAAAAAGCTGTGACAATTCGTGCCTGATTAAAAAAAAAAAAAGGTTGCTTAGTTTGGAGCCCCTATTCTCTTGAGTTGTCCTGTCGCAGATGATTTGTTGCAGTACAGATATGAAAGTGTCACCTCAGATAGGAAACAGGATGAAAAATGGGATAGACCTCAGGTCTGATCTGGTAGCATCCTCTTTTCACTTCTGTGCTCTTATGAATTGTTGGCAAGGTGTTAGGAAGATAACTGACCTCATGTCACATATTACTCATGGGCAATCGTATTTTAGCCAAAGAATCCCATTTTCCTGTTTACCATTGACACACCAAAGTCTTAAAGTAACCACATGGGCTGAGTTAGTTCATGGTTTGTCATATTCTTTCTCTAAAATCAGGAGATGATTCATTTTCTTTGAAGTTGGCTTGAGCCACATAAAGCTATGTTTGTATATCTTATCTTACGGCGTTCTCAATGGTGGGGGTCACATAACCCACCACAGTAACGTCCAAATAAAATGAGCAGTATTTGGGTTACTGTAAAAAAGCAAAGGGAGGACCCCATGCAGTCAGAAGCTGTTGCCTGTACATAGGTAGGCAACCTGTGGCTCCGGAGCCGCATGCAGCTTTGAGCCTTCTCCTGCCAGCCTCTTCTGCCATTTGCAGAGAGACACAGAGACAGAGAGAGGCACTTGCGCTTCTCTCTCTCTCTCTGTATGTGTGTAAAAAAGAGAGTGGCATCACCCTGTTCCACGAGCTGACAAGCTTATTGGGCAGGGCTCCTCCCTTTGCTGCGTCTTTGCAGGAAGCAGGAAGGGCAGGAGAGAGCCAGCCTGTTGGAGAACAGCTTGAAGCCAGCTTGCCAGGTTAGCAGAAGATCGGAGAGGGGGGGGGAGAAAGAGAGAGAGGGAAAGAGAGAGGGGGAGAGGAGAGAGAGAGAGGAAAGAGAGGGGGAGAGGAAAGAGAGCAAAGAGAAAGAGAGATAGGGAGGGAGGGAGGAAGAGAGAGGAAAGAGAAAGAGGGGGGAAGCGCAAGTGCCTCTCTCTCTCTCTCTCACACACACACACACACACTGTGGGGAAGAGGACTGGCAGACCAAGGGCAGAAGGAGAGGGAGGGAGACATAGAGACACCCTTTTGACATCTAAAATGAAGATAACACTGCATATATCCTTTTTTTATCTTTATGATATATATATCATATATGGTATACACACACAGACACAGACACACACACATACCTACCTATAATAAAGGAAAAAAAGGATATATGCAGTGTTATCTTCATTTTAGATATCAAAAGGGTTTTGCGGCTCCCAGTGTTTTGTTGTCGGTGGGAAACGGGTCCAAATGGCTCTTTGAGTGTTTTGGGTTGCCTACCCCTGACTTAAGGCTACCAGATCGGTTGCAAAATGAATGGCCACCTCAATGATCAACCAGAGTTCTCCATAGCTTTCTTGCCATCTGCGGGTGGCCTGGATTTTTGCAATCTACATACGATGTCCTTAGGATATTCATAATATGGGGAGATTCTCTTTTTGTCTGAGTCACTTCCACTTTTTCACAAAGCTTCCCCTCTGTTTAAAAAGCAAGGGTGGTTTTCTGCAGGCACCTGCACATTTATCTACAAAGGCAGTCCTCCTGCAATCCACCTAGTAGGGCAGCCACTGTGCTTGCTTGACCTTGACCTTGCTGCAGGCTACACCATGCAAAGTACAAACAATTTCTGACGGTGACCCTGCATTGTGCGTGCGTGTCAAAACACAAGACCTCTAATTTCCTTGCAATCCCAGTTGAAGCCCTCTGGCTATTTCATTAATTTGGGTAAAACGAGGTTGGATAAAATAAAAGGCAGAATCCCAGTACTCAAAAAGAATCTTGAACAATGTCAACCACAATCCTTATGGACACAGACACAACACAATTTCAAATGGTACAGCAGGTACTGACCACTACTCTTAACAGTTATTTTAGTTAAAATATGCTTTTTTTTTTCTGGGAGGGCAAAACAGACATTATATCAGTCGATAAAAATGCATCCAAAGTTCATTCTCCTTAGAGCAGACTCACTGGAAAAATTCAAACTAAGTCATGACAGAGTCCAATCCTTTAGATAGCTACTGTAATCACTTGGAAATAAATCCTATTGAATTCAATAGATCTTATTTCTCAGTAAACATGGATATAATTTCACCACATTATTTCAATAGTACTTTAAAAAGAACATAAGAACATAAAAGTACAATCCAATAAAATGTGTTATGTTTATAGACCAGCATCGATCCAGCATAATTAGAATTACCACTAAATCAACACTTCCATTCCCAAATTAGAAAATTTATGAGTAGACATTATTGGAAACTTCAGGTTTTCTTATATAGACATTTTATATGCTAATATTTGATGGAAAACTTTGGACTTAATGTTTATAGTTTTTCCTAACGATGTACACTGTACTAATCAAGCATTTTCAGTTTACACCTCAATACAAACATTAAATGCTTAGAAAATGGATGATGTATTTTATATCATAAGTCTCTAATTATATACCGGAACATAATTCATCTTTAATATACTCTGGATTTGTTGAATTTCCATCTGTAATTCTACCATTTTAGTCTTTTTATGCTTTGTATTCCTCCTTACTCGTTCTTTTTTTTTTTTTGCAGTGTTACAAGTTCTTTATAAAAATAATTAAAAAAATAAGTCAAACCAGTTATTTTTCAAAGAGAAATTGTAAACGTCTGTTATCTTCTCCAAATCTGTCAATCACTTTTTGGAGTAATACGTCCTTATTGTCATTGATTTTTACCCGATGAGCACTCATCATGCAAAGTCCAAACGTACGTTGATCTGCCACTGTTGACTTCGACCACGTTTCTATCCTCCTCATTGTACTGAATGATTTTTCCATTGTGCAGGTGGTTAGTGGTAACGTGAGAGCAATCAAAATGGCTTGTTCAATCGAAGGATATTGGTCGACGTATGGCAGCAAATCCAGAAGTCCGCTCTCCCCATTTTCAACCCTTTCTTCCGTTTTCCCCAACCACTTTTCAAACCAGGTGACCGTTTCAGTTTCCAAATTTTCAATTTCATATAATTCACCGATTTTGTCCATCTCTGTTTTCAAGGTCTCGAGGCCAGCTTTGGCCATTTCTTTGGGGTGAAGCGAAAAGATTCCAAAAACCGCCTTGCTTTCTGGAGCAAACCGGCTTTCCAGCCATGAGATTACCGAGTTCAAGTAGGGTATATAGAGCGACTGGCGGAAATATTCTTCCTTGGTTGGCACACTGGCATTTGAGTTCTTTGGCAAATCGCTCTGTTTGGGCACCTGCAAGTCAACGCCCAATTTGTCTGCTAGTTCTTGCACTTCCAAAAGAATTCCCTTGAAGTGCTCCCCTGCTTTTTCTCTGTGGCCACGAAAGACACTTAAGAGCTCCTGGATGTGTTCGTACACTTTCATCATATCAAGCTGACCAGTCTGCAGAGCTTGGGCCACTGGCTCTAATTCGCTGCAATAGTTCGACATGATAACAAGGCAAAAGAGGAAATTAGGTGTTCCCGAAGCACAGTACAACTGGTAGGCATCCTGGCAGGTTTGACCTGAAGCTGTAGTGGCCAGGTTTCTTAACCCATCAAAGATCTGTACAAAATTCTCAGAAAAATATCTGACATGCTTGTATTTTGCAGCCCAAAGTGGTTCACCCAGCAACGGAACAGCTGGAATAAGGTTCCTTCTACTCGAATTCCCATGGAAAAAATGAAGGATAGCTTTGATTGAGCCAATGGCATTCCTTATCTCAGGTACAGCATTTAATTCATTCACAACCAGATTGAGTGTGTGCGCTGCGCAGTGAACAAAAATAGCTTTGGGGAACCTACTCTTTATTTTAGCTTGCACACCGCCCTCTTTCCCGGCCAATTTAGAACATCCGTCATACCCTTGGCCGCATAATTTTTCTAGATTTAAACCATACTTGGTGCACTCCTCAATGATGATTTCGGCAGTGCAGGTAGCTCCCTTCAGTGCCGCGAAACCAAGGAATTCCTCTCGAACTTGTGGTTTAGCACCAGTCATGTCCACAAAACGTATGCCAAGTGACAAGTGGTCCTCCCCAGAGATCTCGGCGCTTTCGCCCACAAGAACCGAAAAACCAGCGGAGCCATTGGCAGCAGAAACTATTTCTTCTCTAATGGCATCCACACACAGCTTAATCAGTTCATTTTCTATTTGGGAGGACACGTCCCGAGCATTGCCAGCCTCATTTTCTAGATGTTCTCGTAGGGTCACATCTCCCGCTTCAACGCGAAACGCCAGGAGACTTTGCATGTTCCCCGTTTTTCTCGTCTCCCCGTGTAAAGGAATGTCGTGGGTGCCACAAAATACGATGGTTGACAAGATCGAGTACAGCTTTTTACGATTTTCATTGACTATCCGGTTGATGCTGCTGTCAAGCTGGCAAGCAAAGTTTGTTTCAAAGACGTTCCTGCTGGTTAGGAAGTTCGTTGCATCGATTTCGGCACTCTTGTGCCATGCACTGGACATGTGTTTTTTTGCACAGACGTGAAAATCATTGTACCTCACAAATGGCACCATGATGAAGCCCCCCTGTCTCCCACAAAGATCAGGCTGTGGGAACACGATGCAGTATTTACAAAATGGTCCTTTCAAATAGGATGAGTAGCAAAGCCAGGGTGAGTATCTGATTAACCATATATGACGGAAACTGCGTATTCCTGTTGAATCCCCCTTGAAATTATAATCATGCGCTGGTGTGAAGGTGTTCACAAGAAGATTATACTTCAGATCATCTGTGAGAGGCGTGGGTGAGTTCACGTACAACCCAATGTCATAAGGATGAACAGCAAATTCCAAACCATCCATGATGCATTCATATTCCGCTGATGAGCCTGAACAGGAACTGCTATTTTCTTCCTCATTTTTTCTTTTCTTCTGCAATGTTTCTTCTTCAACCATTTTGTGCTTTCTGAAAAGAGTTCCGATCTCCATTCCTATGGAGAAAAGAAGAATGATGGGACGGTAAATGGAACAGAAACAGATTTCAGAAAGAATGAATATAAAAATAGTGAAATGTTATTTTCATAGTGAAACAAAAATCTGTGCTGATGTTCCTTAAATCATTTCTGTAATTTTATATAGTGGGATACAGATTAGTGATTGTTATGTTTTTTAAGTAGTTTTCCCTTCAGTACTTCAAAATAAGCTTGTTTTTCACACTTTGTATTTATTAAATTCATATGCCACCCAACTCCCAAATTAGTTTTATTCAGAAGTAATTTTCCACATCCTCCTCCTAATTAACAAGCATGAAAATGAAACAAACATCTCACAATGGAAGAATGGCTGGAAAAAGTGATGGAGCTAGCAGAAATGGGCAAATTAACTGCTTTAATTAAGGAAAAGAATAGAATGAATTCTGGAAAATAAAATAAGAAGTAAAATAAGACATTTTGCCGGCACAGAATGGAAGATGGTTTAGTGAGAAAGCTGAACCCAGAGGGTGAAAAGTTGGCAGTCTCACACCTTCTTTCCCAGAATTTTTCTGAGTCTCTCCCAACTCTGGTGCATTAAAAAGGGACCTCAAACTCTCAAAACTCTATGCACATTACACTTTACAGGGAAACAAAAGCTGATCAAAATAAAATAAATTCCACAATCCCACTTTCTAGTTTAGAACACTGAAAACTGTGATTAGGGAAATCATCTCCCACTCCTGGAAGTCTGATCAATAGCACATAATGTAGCATAATTAATTAACAACTTAACTTTATAGACATTTATTTTGTAAGTTTGCATTTATCTATGTAAGGGAATATATGTACCTGGAATTCTACAGGCATGGATAACATCACTCAATCACTATTTTTAAAATCATGAATTGGGCTGGGGCTGATCAAAGTCTCTTCTGAGAACAATGGCTGGAGTGGGCTCCGAGTTGAGTTGTCAGCTTGAATCCTAAAAAAAGGGTCACCAAACTGAGATCCAGAATATGTTTAATGAATTTTCAGGGCCCAAGCAAGCCCACTGAAAGTCTGGTTAGAGGTTAGGAGAACCTCAGATGCTAGCAGATTCACTAGGACTCCAGTCTCATCTCCATGCATGTTATTCCATAGACTTCTCTCCTTCCACCTCCAAGTCAGCTCCAAAGCACCACAGCTTTGAGATGGTTGTTATACTTACATATAAATGTAAGAAAGAGACATAGAATAAAACTGCAAATTGCTATAATCATATACTACAAATGATTATCGTGGTTGTGCGGTATCCCAGAAACTAGGAGACTGCAAATTTTAGTCCTGCCTAGGTATGAAAGCCGGCTGGATGACCCTGGGCCACTCAGCCCAACAACCCTGTTGTTGTGGAGAAAACAGGAGAAGGAAGGAGTATTTAGGCATGTTTGCTGCCTCGAGTTACTTATAAAGTAATAAAGGCAGGATAAAAAGCTAATTAATAAATCTATATAAATAAAAATGTAAATGTTCGTTTGTTCAAAATCTTAAATCTCCGAAGGTTCTTCACCGATTGGTTTGAAATTTTGACACAACATTGCATTTGAATACGCGCGTTTTTATATATCTACTATTATATAGATGTCACACCTGTGACAGGTAAAAACATGTTTTTGAAAAACAGCGCCATCTGTTGGACGTAAAAGCAACACACGCTAACCAGACTGAGCCACAGCAACGCGTGGCCGGGTACAGCTAGTTACAGTGTTTCTCAACCGTGACAATTTTAAGGCATGTGGACTTCAACTCCCAGAATTCCACAGCCAGCAATGCTGGCTGTGGAATTCTGGGAGTTGAAGTCCACATGCCTTAAAATTGTCAAGGTTGAGAAACACTGAGCTAGTACAATAATAAAGTCATAGAAAATGAGGAACTCTACGCTCAGCCAGCATGCTGTGCAGCCCAAGGACGTGCCACGGGCTTGTTTCTACCATGCGTTGAGATTTTTGTCAGATGCTTTTTCAATTATTTTGCATATATCCAATAGAGTTTGGGTATTTAAAAACGTGCAGCTTGCCTTTGAATCCGTCTTACGCATTTAAAAATATAATCAATAATTTTCTGATGTGCCACAGAACTGCTGCTATATTCCATACGGTCCCACGGATTCAAACGGGTTGAGAAACCACTGCGCTTTCCTTCCCTCCCCCCCCCACTTTTTCTTACTTCCCATCTTCTTTTCGTTTAATTATTTCAATGTATTTGGGGAAATTCCCAAAAAGCAGAATCTCTGGCGCACTCTAGACTGGAAGTTAACAGGTGAGGAGGCGGCGGCGGCGGCTTCCCACGTGCCCCGAGCCCGCCCGAGGATGCTCGGTCAGGGGTCCTCCTGCTTCTGCAGCCTTCTCCGCGAAATCTCCCTCGGGCCGTCGGAAAAAAGACCCATCTGCTCAGAGCATCCCTCCTGCAGGGAGGTATTTCGGACGTCCCAAGAAGGGAAGCCCGAGACCAGGTGACGTTAGCCCCGCTAGGGGTGGCAGAGGCGGGGAACGCCCTCCAAAGGAGGAAAGCAAGATGGGTTCCTAGTCCTCATGAAGGAAAGGGCGAGACGGCCCCTGGGTGGGCAAAGGGGGGGTGAGTCCCGTTCGGGAAGCCCAGCAGGGAGAACAAAGGCGGCCCCAGCGAAGCCCGCCGGGTCTGCGGGATCCCATTCAAGAAAGAGCCCCTGTCCCCACACCCCCTCGCCCCGACTCACCCGCCGCCCCCGATATCCACGTGCACGTATGAACGCGGCAGCTGGGAGGGCCCGCGGGGGGAGGGGTCCCGAGGTGGAGAAAGGAGCGGCAGCGCGGGACGCCCGCGGTTGGGGTCAAAAAAAGCAAAATGGCGGAGCCGTCGTCGTCGTCATCATCGTGCAAGCTCCGCCCCTCTGAATGTGTGTCTCGTCGCCGGCGCATTCCAAAGGGGCGGGGCTTGTAGGAGCCTTCTACTCCGCGGACGCGGCGCTGAGAAGGCAAAGCGGGCGAATTGCTGCGGCCGGCCGCTGTTTAAAGGGCCCTCCCGCTCCAGCTGTTGGAGCAGCCGCTTCGCCGCCACCTTCCAGAAGCAGGTGCTGCCAAGGAAAGGTGATTCCCCCCGCCGGCCATTCCTCAAACCAGGACGATGCTAATCTAATGTATTCCTCCGTCGCAAGAGGAAAGGCGGCCGTGCCAAGGGTGTCTTTTTTGCAACTTGCGCACATCTGGCTCTGGGCTTCGCGGCAAACTCCTGTCAATTTATCTTCCTCTTTGCAGAAGCTTTCATTGATGTCCGGCTTTCTGCGTTGCCCGCTCCGTCTCTAGCTGCATCCTAAAGTCGTGTGAATCCCTTCCCAGCCACCTCCTGGTCCTTCTCTTGGTACCCGGGATTATTTAGTAATAATAATAATAATAATAATAATAATAATAATAATAATAATAATAATAATAATAATAATAAAGTTGGAAGGGACCTTGGAGGTCATCTAGTCCAACCCCCTGCTCAGGCAGGAAACCCTATACCATTTCAGACAAATGGCTGTCCAGTCTCTTCTTAAAAACTTCCAGTGTTGGAGCATTCACCGCTTCTGGAG